GGGTAACAATTAGATCATCTCTGTTGGCCTGAAATACACCACCTCCTTGGCCAGTTTGTCTGTCTTTCCGGTGTGCTATGTAGTTGCTGGGGAATATTTCACTACTTGCTATGTTTTGGTTGAGCCATGACTCTGTACCTGCTACTATATCTGGCTTGTAAGTGTCAACTACTGTCGCCAGTTCAGCTGTTTTGTTCCGCACACTCTGACAGTTTACTAGCAGAAGTTTACTTTTAGATCTCTTGTGACTATGACCCCTCGTTTGAGAATTACCCTGCTTTGATTTAAGTGGGGTGGATGAAGCCATTGGGATTTCGTCTGGTAAACTTGAGTCAGAACTCAGCGTGTCAAATGAGTTTACTGAATGGAATGTTTCATCAGTGATGTCGAATATGGCCGATGCAAAGTTGGGTATACCACAGTCACAACATACCCACGAGTATGATCGGTGGGTTTCTAGTGCACTGTATACTTGAGAACATAGCCCAACGCAGTCACTGTGGTACCATCTATCGCATTCATCACAGCATATTGCATTATGGGTGTTACGTACTGCCTTGTTACAACTCCCACATGGAAACTTTGGTGGTCTAGGCCCTGGGTTGATCTCAATATCCCCGCTTAAGATCAGAATCATGATCAGTGAAAACTTTGTGCCACTATTGTGCAATAGCATTTTCTTGCTACTGACGTGAGTTCCGTTAGCCCCGCTGTGCTTAATCATGAAAGCAAAAGTGGCCCAGTCAGATGTGCAATCTGTTCTGAAGTAGACAGTATCATTCGTAATCGGTTGACATAAGTTATTCCAAACCATCATGGAGTCCCTTACCAAGTCGAAGTCAAGTCTTTTCTGTTTAATATCTGTTACAGGTGAGTCAATTAAATTCTTATTCTAAAGTGGTAAAATGAGTCAGTAAAAGTAATATTTGCCATGTAGTTTTAATTCATTTTATGAATGGTTAATTTTCACTTGCGAGAAATGCATTTTAACGCATCAGGGTATAACTAAGAAATGCTTTGTATATTATTTTCTCGTTACGTGTAAATGGTATCATTATAAAGTACTGTAACAAATTGTAACATTTTTCTAAAACTGCCAAAACCAATTAGCAGCTGTCTCCAAGAACTTAAGATTTGAGAGGAATAAGCTAACTCTTTACCGTGAAAAAAAAACTTACAAATAAACACTTTAGATAAGAACTCTATCCCGATTTTATGGTGCAAACACAGTTTATCAAAATCACCTTTGCATTGAATATTGCAATCGTCAACACAGTTGATTAAATCGACCCGATATAAAAGAGGCCCGCATATTACACAAACCGTATGGAGGAGTCAAGCTCGTTTTATTGAACAGGTTTACAGGCCGAATGTATGCCGAGTATAAAATGTACGTAGTAAGCCTTTGACACCGACTTAAATCATAACTCTGACGTAAAAACAGAGTAATAAATAACCCTCTATTCTTCTAATAACCTCTACAAAGAGTCAGGGTTTATCACCTGTAACAGTCGCTGCCTTACACGGCTAATATTTGTTAAGTAAACTCCTTTCACCTGTGGCGATAACAACACTCTGGTTAGCAGCGTCGTGGATGGTTAGGGGAACTATTTTTGACAAGGAAGACCTCCTTGTGACTCTAGCTTATTTCAGCTGAGTAGACGGTGTTCTTCATAAATGGATTGGTCCCAGCATTCGCGAACGACTACCATGGAGTTGAAGTCGATTCTATCAAATATGATATTTGTTACAGGTGAGTCCACGAAATTGTTATTGTATACAATAAGTGAATGGGTATCCAGGGTAAAATGGGCCATGGAGGGTCGACAAATTTCTCCTGTAGCTTTATGTTACGGAACTATTTGCATGTAAAAGTAGCTAGTCATATCACATCCAGAACCGTGCATATCTAGTTCTGTGTCTGAATTGATTAAAAGTGGAGAATCTTAACCATAGATACAGCCATAAACAATTATTCCTCATTGTAGATTTTCCAGCAGCTTGAAAAGTGAATTGTGTCCCAACAACCATTATTAAACATTAGCCTGATATCCAGCCTTGTTAGCTTTAGTCCGCTTACCAAGATCTTGAGCAGCGTACCAAAGCTAACAAGGCTGGACTTCAGGCTACATAAACATCACAGACTGTATAGCAATTAAAATAATGGCAAGGACAGTTTAGCATAATACCAATTGAACCTTTTAAACAGATTCAGGTATTTTTTCCACTGGTTTATAAAGAAACTTGCAATCTGACCCAAACAATCGTATTTAAGTCACATAATCGTGATTTTTTTCATTTAATCTTTACCATTAAACAAACCTTTAAAACACTTTAGAACTCCATTATAATTGGATTTAGTAATCGTTAACACAATTAATAAAATCGGCCCGATAAAAAGGTCTATAGTATACACAAACCGTACTGAGGAGTCAGGCCTTTTTGCGGCCTTTTATTAAACGGGTTTACCGTCCAGTATTTGTCGACTAATACATGCACGTGGTAAGACTTCAATACTGACATATATCATTATTTTGACTTAATAACAGAGTTATAAATAACCTTCTGTCCTCTTTATTACCTCTACATAGACTCGGGGGGTCTATAACACTTAACAGAGCCGCCGCCATACACGGCAAATATTTGTTGAGTAAAGCCCTTTCATCTGCGGCGATAACAACACTCTGGTTAGCTGCGTCGTGGATGGTTAGGGGAACTATTTTTGACAAGGAAGACTTCCTTGTAACTCCTGGCGTATTTCAGCTGAGTAGACGGTGTTCTTCGTAAATGGTTTGGTCCCAGCACTTACGAACGACCACCATGGAATCGAACTCGATTCTATCAATTATGATATTTGTTACAGGTGAGTCCACAAAATTGTTATTGTATACAATAAGTGAATGGGTATCCAGGTTAAATGGGCCATGGAGGGTCGACAAATTTCGTGTAGCTTTATGTTACTGCGTTAGTTGCATGTAAAAACCGCTAGACTTATCACATCCAGAACCGTGCATATCTAGTTCCGTGTCTGAATTGATTAAAAGTGGAGAATCTTAACCATAGATACAGCCATAAACAATATTCCTTACTTTAGCTTTTCCAGCAGCTTGAATAGTGAATTGTCCCCACAACTACATAAACATTAGATTGGAGTCCAGCCTTGTTAGCTTTAGTCCGCTTACCAAGATCTTGAGCAGCGTACCAAAGCTAACAAGGCTGGACTTCAGGCTACATAAACATCACAGACTGTATAGCAATAATGGCAAGGACAGTTCAGCATAATACCAATCGACCCTTTTTAAAAGATTCAGTTATTTTTTTCTACTGGTTTTCAAAGTAACATACCCAAAACATGCAATATGACCCAAATAATGTATCTGTATCAGTATAGCCGGTATAACCAACCTTCGGTGTAACAACCTTCGCACACCGAACGACTTGTTACACTCAATCTTTGCACATTTTATTGCAGGAGTTGTTTAAAGCTTTCTATTGATGATGACCCAACTGTGCTTATTGGCACCGAGTTCCAGTTTACGATAGTTCCGGGGAAATACGACTTTTTGAACACCTCAATTCTTGGTTGATAACTCTGATATTTGAAGGCACGAAGGTTTCTTGTTCTTTTCTGAGCGGATAATTAGTGGTTGGTACGTCCACCAGTTTATTAGTCATTTTGTACATCATGCAAATACAAATAATACAAATACAAAATTTGTATTTAAGTCAAATAATCAAGAAATTAATACTAGCTACAACTTTGAAGAAAAAACGAACCTTGAGTTCAAATCAACAACTTTCAAAACCATCCTATCAAAAGTGTCTAAGTGTATAACAAGATAGGCATGGTATCAGATGTGATAAGACTAACTATTATACATGCAATCAGAATATAAGATAGTGCAAGGTACCCTTCGATCACAGTTGGACATACATTTTTCTAGTATTTAAACAAACCTAAGTCTAAGGGTACTAGTAAATGACCTGGATACAACATAACGATGATACTATCATATTTTGTTATTTCTTGTTTTAGTGGTAATATCGGAAGCATTCGGCTCCGACCCCTGTACGGACTACCAGGAGTTAAACCAGGCCAGACGGAGTTCAGCAGCCGAGGTGGCGGCCGGACACTCTCTCCTGTGTGACAACACGTTATCAGCAGGCTGGTACCGGTTTATCAGTTATGTCGGCGGGGAGATCCCTACAACCTGTGTGGAGCCGTACCACTGTGGAACCCAGGTTCCTATATGGATGGACGGAACCCTACCGACAGACAGTACTGTAGTCAACAGAACGGTTTGTACTAACTACGGTGTACCGGGGGACTGTTGTACTTCCTCATGGAACATACAGGTCAAACGGTGTGTGGAGACACAAGGGGTTTTCTACGTCTACGACTTGGTACCGACGTTTGGCTGCTCACAGGCCTACTGTGCAGGTAAGGTTATTCCAATATGTCACATATATTGTATTCTTAAGCTGCTAAAAATCCTGTCGTGTAACAGAAAAAAGATTCTCAATGCGTACACAGATATCTACATTGATGTAAGTACACGTACTTTGTAAACGGCTTTATAAATTTTATATTTCTAGTTACTAGTGAGAATAGTTCTATTTAATAGAAAAAAGCCACTAAAAATCCTGTCGTGTAACAGAAAAAATATATTACTCAATACGCACATAGGTAAGTACTTTGTAAAACAGCCTTATACATTATATATTTCTAGTAAGGCCACAACAAGTATATTTTTGGATGACATTAGCGCGCGCATTGATTTTTGTCTGATGTTTGTAAAAACAATAAATTATGTTGGTCTCAAATGACTAAAATGACTATCAGTTCAGAGTCCGTCAGCGATTCAGCAAACTTGCTCGTGTTTGATGGCAAATGCTGGCAGGGACATTCGAAGGTGTTTTATCATGTATGGATAACATATTTCACAATTGTTATTTGAGACATATACATATCTTCAAGGACAGGTGATACTGTTAAAATCAGGAATACAAACCTGGTGCTTGTTGTATCGTGTTTTATTGCCTCAATTTTTGTTTAACCAGGTTTATGATCTTAAAAGTTGACATATAAGAAGTTTTTTTACCCGTCTTGTCTTTTACCCTATCTCACTAAATTATAAGTAGGATGTCATCCATAAAATTCACTTGCTGTTAGCTCACAACATGTATACTGTATATTGTTCAGTGAGAAGGACTAGCTAGCCCTTTGTAATAATCTTCATACTGCTACTAGAAAACAAATAGTTCAATATTTTTCCAAGGATCTTTATTAGTTCAGTGACTCATAATATGAAATTTAATAATTGAAATAATAATAATTGAAATTAAATAATATGAAATTTAATGCCCAATAAATATTTATGGATCACAACAATGCAATCCTTTTTGCAGGAACACTTCCTTTATGCCCAGAGGGAGAAGTGTATGACCAGTACAACAACATTTGTCTGGGTAAGAGATGATTTCCTTCTATCATTGGGATGGGTAACGTTATAACGTTTTTTTTACAATTTTTTGTTAAGAGACGCCAAATTACAGCATATTTATGCACATTTTATGTTGTGTTTCCTCGGGTGGGTGTATTCCACTTTACCTACAGTCCCAGCCCTCCTTTGGGTCGGATAGCCACCTAGCCTTCGGGTGATACGGAATACACAGTTTGTATTTTTTGTGTTAGGCTTTAGTAACCTTCCTGTGAAACATTCGGTGTAATTTGTAAGTTCTGGGTTCTACTGTTTTACGGTTGCGTTTCGCACCTCCTTTTTCTCACCTTTAAATATTGCACTTTTCATTGTGTTACCACAGTAGTTTTAATGGTGAACTAATTAGAATGTACTAAGAACTTATATAAACAATGTCATGAAATCTATGCCCTGCGATCTTAAATAAATTTACAGTAGGTCGTATGGATACTGTGTAAAGAGCACGACTGTGTTTATCTATAGGTTAATCAGTGACAGAATGGCTCTTACTACATAAGGTCTAACATTTAGCCGCTACCAGGCACCGCATATCGCTGGAAAAATAGTAGAAATTGGCCGAAATAAATGAATAATATACCAGGGGAGGTAGCCGGCCAGAGAAGATTCAATTCGCGCGTGGGTCGTAAATATTTCGGCCATTTTCTAATATTATATTTTTACAGCGATCCGCGGTGCCTGGTAGACGCTAGTTAAAATCTACTAGTGCACGTACATGGCGCCTTTTACTGACTGGGCATTTTGTGCAAGACGTTTTTTTCTGAAAAATGGAATTGCTTTTTCTAATGGTCTTGTTTTTTCATTCACTCCATAGTTTTGGTACTTAGCGTCAAAATGGTGGTTACATCATTATGAAAACTGGCATGATACTGGTCTTTTTTAAGGTACTTGCCAGTCAATTTGTGTGCCCAGTTACTTTGTCAGGCGTCAGTGACGCAAGGGTTAGATTGTTGGACTTGGAACCAATAGGTCCCGGGTTTAATACTCACTATGCGCCGACGCTGCGCCCTTGGGAGAGGCACTTTACACGACCGTCCCTTTCCTGACGGTGGAGTGACGCCCACCGAGTCTCTAAAGCTAATCTGTGCCAAAACACACTACGAATTTAGTGCGCCAATGTCTAAATATGTGCCAAAACACACTACGAATTTAGTGCGCCAATGTCTAAATATGTAATAAAACACACTGCGAATTTAGTGCGCCAATGTCTAAATATGTGCCAAAACACACTGCGAATTTAGTGCGCCAATGTCTAAATATGTGCCAAAACACACTGCGAATTTAGTGCGCCAATGTCTAAACATTTGCACTTTTGTCACCAAGAGCTGTATTTTTTGCCACCTAAGAAGATCTCATCGCAGTTCTCTACGTTTTCCCTGATACAAAAACTAGGTGGCATATCGGCATTTCTGCCAAATCTCAGTATTATTTATCCCCTAGTTATTGTCAACGTCAAACCTTGCTACCGGTATGTATTTCTACAGAAACCAGGCATCCAGTGCCCTGTGACTTTGAGTCTATAGGAACATGTGAGTGGCACCAACAGACGACTGACGACTTTGACTGGGCAAAGCAAACAGCCGGAAATGGAAACCATCTGCCAACAGGTGAATAATATTTAAAAAATTGTGCAGGAGTGTTAACATATTGATCAAGAATCATTCCCGAAAAACTATACGATATATTTAATATACAATAAAATATAAGATAAAACGCATGCGTTAGTACGAAAATATTTTTCATAAACAAGCATTGCCGGATTAATATTTTTTTATTCCATTAAATACAGAGCTTTTTTCAATTTCATAGTAGACTATTTTTCAAGATCTCTGTTATCATGTACAGATGGAGGACGTTTCCTGTACGTTGGTACTGAAGGCGGTCAGCAGCCCTTAGACACAGCCAGAATCATCGGTCCGGTTATTGTCCCGTCTGTGGTTCAACCGTGTAATGTTAGTGTTCTTCTTAGTCCTTTACATTATGCTAAAGGTTGATTGTATAAAGTCAAAAGGTTTAAAAAGTCTAAGATGTATAACAAGTAAGAATGATTTAAAATACCTTTTTTCTAGCTGCTTTGAATGTTTATCTATTTAGTTATTTATTTGATATGAGGATTCATTGCGTTTGTAAAGTGAATGACATCTACAATGTGTTTCTGCACAGATGACCTTTAGTTACTACTTCTCGGGACCAGACGCCGGGGATCTGGATGTTCTAACCCGGCAGTATTACACAGGCGTACAGAAACCGGAATGGCAGCAGTCAGCGGGGACAGCAGAAGATTGGACACAGGTTACTGTCTCATTTCAGGAACAAGACCCATTTCAAGTAAGTCATTTGAAACATTGGGAAGTTTAGTGAATGTGACATCAATGAGCAGAATCATTTCAAATCATAACCTCATTTAGATAATTTATGAGGAAGTGCTAGAATAGCCTTCTCTGTTACGATAAGGCTGTCATTGGTTAAAGAATGATTATTCAGATTAACTGATGAAATCCATGATAAAACTGAGATGATCTTATTTTCATAATCTATGAGAAAATATGTATAATTTTGTTAGTCGGAATGAGTAACATCATTTGGCGAGGATATGAGGTCGTGGAACTCTTTTTTCTAATATGTCCATTCCAGGTGATTATCCAAGGCGTGCTGGGCTACGGGAGACATGCAAAAATTGCTATTGACGATATTTCCTTCTCTTGGGACTGCGTACGAGAAGGTAAGAATTGTTTTCACAGTGGCAGAAAGTTGAACAAGTTTTGTAAAAGACAATAGTGCTAGCATGCTGAAACAAAGACATTTTGATCAGCAACATCACACATTTTGAAAGGTGTATGATTTGTTGTTCATTACCTACTCTACTTGAAGTATGCTTATCTGTCTAGTTGACGGGAGTGTCCGGTTAGTGGACGGTGCCCGGTTCGATGAAGGGCGGGTGGAGATCTACTACAACCACCGCTGGGGAACCATCTGTAACATCGGCTGGACCCGGACTAGCGCTGATGTGGTGTGTGCTCAACTGGGGTACAGGGCGTCTGTGTGGACAGATGCTAGGTATGGATATGTTAACACAGTATGTAACCTACTAATTCAGTCTTACTGTTTGTTTATTTTTATCATGACATGTTCAGAAGGAATAACCATGTTAGATCCGTGAAACTTAGTTACAGTAATAGTTCATTTTTTTGTCTTTTGAAGGTATCCTGCACCGGACTCAACACCCATTCTCCTAGATGACGTCACCTGTGACTCCAGGAACAAGTCTAGAATCACAGAATGTCTGACGAAGCCGTGGGAAAACTGGAGTCCTCTTTGTAACCATGGCAGAGATGTGTCTGTCAGATGTGTGGGTGAGTTCATTTTTCCCTTTTTTTTCTTTTTTAGGGGGGGGGCATGGGAATAACAATTTCTAGTGAATTCATCCATATGCAGGTAAAACTTATAAATACACAAGTTTCCCTTAGTAGAATGCAATACTTGGCTAAAACTCGACGTAAAATCTATATTTGATTAGACACCATTTCATGAAAGATCCTCATTTTCAAGTCGAAAATGCCTATTCTAATTACAAGCATTATATTCATGATTGTTTTTAAACTTTCTCTTTGTTTTGTTGTCACTTATATCATACTTTTTGTTAAAAATACCCGATTGGACGGCTCGTCTGACTAGTAAATAGGATTGCTGCAAGTTAAGACCTGCAAATCTAGCAAATTTATATATTTCATTCCATATATTTTGTGATGACTGTTCCAGGTCAGTGGCACCAGTGTACACCGGACCAGTTTGTATGTGACAACGCAGTCTGTCTTCCTCCTACCGCTCAGTGTGACTTCACAAACGACTGTGGGGATGGAAGTGACGAGGGGGACTGTGGTATGCATTTATGAATTGTTTTTTGTTGTTGTTGTGTGTGCGTACTGTTACTCACTGTTATTGTGGGTCCATTAGAGAATTATTAGGGAACTCCATTACATTACATTGAGTAAATTCAATTACATTGAGTAAATATGACATCAACCGTCCTTGTTACCTGCAATTATATTGTGATTCCAAATACATGAACCCTCCCAAACTATATAGTAATGACAAACCCATTAAACAGGGAGATACCCCGGACGATGTGACTTTCAGAACAATTTGTGTAACTGGGTCCAGTTGAAAAGCGACACTGCCGACTGGACCCGGGGGTTCGGTGGGTCTGAAGCAGGGGTGCCATTGGTGGATCATCAGGGTCTAACAGGTATGAGTCAATATCAGTCTTATTTCACATGACATGGCTTGTGTCCTAAGGACTAATCAAAAAACGTAAGAAATGACTATTAGGTTGTAGTTGCATGTAAAGACATTAGTTATGCATGTGTTTTACAATTGCTTGGATTTGTTAAAGAAAATTAGAATTGCAACAGATGTTATTGCATATGATATTTGACACTCTGCAAAGAAATATACATTACTAAGACTTTGCAATATTTACCATATGCTGGATCATGTATTCATATTTTTTTTTCTTTATCTACAGATGGATATTTCCTGTACCTTACTGGCGCAAAGGAAACAACAGCCTTCTTGCTGCTTCCCACGTACTTCATTTCCAGTGGTAACAACTGTTCCGTAAGTGTATACTTAATCATACAGATCGGATACTTACAGGTTGGTAACAACATGAACATTCAACGTGCTATTTCATAAATTTTTCATCTTGAATCCCTACAGCTGCTGTTCCACTACTACCTGGACATTGATGACGCAAACCTTTCCGTTCGGATTGCATCAAGAACAAACGCGAGGATAGAATGGCAGCAAAGCGTTTCACAAGGACCGAACTGGGTCAAACAGGAGGTGACGATCCCGGACAGAACACCGTTCCAGGTTGGTGTACTTAATCGGTACCAAGTCATTACAAAAAGAATTCATTTCTAAATTTTAAGTTTAGGTATTGACCGTATATATTCAACCGACATTAAAACATCATTGACTAAGTGTAGAATATTCAGAACGACCTATTGATGATACCTCGTTTATCAATTCTTTACTATTCTGACATTTTGTTCTAGGTCTCTTTCCAAGGGTTAATTGGGACGCCTTCGGCGGGGTCCATAGCCATAGATGATATAACATTGACGCCAGGCTGTATCATCGGTAAGACTTATCATGTTGTTTTACATACAAAGCAATTGTGACAAAATATTTGGAGGCCACAGTAGTCTTCAGTAATAGAAACGTATTCAGACTTATTAATTTAGTGAATATATCTAACTTCCTTGCCCAAGATGTATAGTTTATTGACACTTGTCTTTTTTCAGAATACGACGGCTGCACAGAAACATCTTTTACTTTTAAATGTGTCAGTGGTGAATGCATCTCCCTGGACTATGTGTGTGATTTTCAAGAGAACTGTGTGGATGCCAGTGACGAAAGACATTGTGATAAAGGTATCTATAACAACGCATATTTAGTACCTAATTACGTAATTACATGTATAAATGTTAAGTATATACTTGTCTGTCAAATGCTTTTTGTCCATTAATAAATGTAAGTTTAATGTCGTATCTTCCTTGTATCCGCAGAACCAGGGAGATGTGATTTTGAAGAAGGCTTCTGTTCCTGGTCATCTGGTCCAAGTGACATCGAATTCCAGCGGGGGAGAGAATCAACAAGTACTAGCGGTACTGGGCCACCTGTGGACCACACTCACCAAAACCCGTTAGGTACATTCAGCTAAGCAATTATATCATTATCTTGACAAACTAACTAGCGTAGCTTTATGTTCCAACTTTGATAATTTATATCGATGTTAGAGTCAGATTTAAATATATCTTTACGTGTAATGGTCCCCACAACGCAAAAATAGGTAGATATATAAAGGAATGCTTTGTTATTAGAAAAATATTCCGAAACTTGTGCCCACTCGATTGTAACACTTAATCATAGATTTGTGCTATCCCTTATTATTTGAATAATTATGATATATATTTGTTAGATTGTATTCGACATTTGGTCTTGTTCAACACATTTTATTGTTTGTTACTCTATTTATGTAGTTTACCATACATTGTACCATGTGCAATTGTAGCGCAATAAAGTTCTTACCTTATTTAAACTAAATTTCGCACCCAGGTTTCTACATATTCATCGACTCTTCAGACAATACTGAAGGGCAGAAGGCCCAACTTGTCAGCCCCGTAATCACGGACGGCTCACCCTGCCAGGTACGGATATTAGACAATTGACTTTTTAAAAAAAATCTGTATTGTCAGCGACAACAGCAAAGGGGCTGGATACTTATTTTCTTATCCTTTTTATCCCTTGCTTGACATAAGGCTATGGCTTAGGGGACAAACTGAGCTACAATTATGATCTGGTATACTCTCCAAGCAGAGGTTGATTGGGGAAGATCGTTTGATTTTTATATATGGCCCGTTTGGTGGTGGTAGAGACAAAAAACGGTTCATATATAAAAAGCAAACGATCTTCCACCATCAACCTCTGCTTTAAGAGTTATCTGGTATCCCTTATAGACAAGATGTTCTTTTTTGGCGACGCCTCAGGGGCGGAGCCCTTAGTATAGTACTGCGATTGAATTGCCAGGAATTCTAAATATTCCACGCACGCATTCCCTAGGGAATTCATTTTTGGCAACACCTTGCGGGTGAGGTCTTCCCTCCCAGGGAATTCATTTTTGGCAACACCTAGCGGGTGAGGTATTCCCTCCCAGCTGTTTTTCAATAACTTTGGAGCTTTTCCGACAGCTTGGACAGCATCATTGTTTGGAATTGAACAAGGTCAGCATTTGAAGTCAGATGTTTCAAAGCAGATGTCGTGATTGTCTGAATATAAACCAATATGTCACCGCGTTTGGTGGTTGTTTTTTTCTAGTAGTTTTCCTTCTCTTTATGAAAAGTATGTGTTTGGACATAAGGCCATGTTGATTTGATTATATGGATGACATCCGTGCGCGCATGAATTTTCGACCGTTTCCAAAAAAAAAAAGTTTTCAACCATACTGTAAATCATGCAAAACAGTTGCTAAATGAGCAAAAATTTACCATAAGTTGTAAGGAAAACATTTAGAAACGATACCAATGTCGTATAGCCTGAGTGTCAGCCTTGTTAGCTTTCGTCCGCTACCCAAGGTTGGCGGGGAGCGGACCTTGGGTAGCGGACGAAAGCTAACAAGGCTGACACTCAGGCTAAATGTCGTAGCTATAGAATGCCAAAATCAAAGGAAAGAATGTAAAAAAATGAATTCGAAGAGTAGATTATTCGCCATAACATATTCTGTGCCATTTGTTCAACCTTCATGACCTCGTAGATTTCATAGTGAAAGCAACTTTTCTTTTTTGCAAAACTTTTTTTTATTCGCACGTGCGCATCAGTTTTGGGGTTCCCAGAGGATGTCATCCATGTAATCAAATCAACATATGCATTCAAGTTCTTTTCAATGCAACTTTGTGAGGATAAAGGAAAGACGCAGAGACAAGGCTTTCCGCACACTGGGCACGGGAGACTTTTAAGACGGACTGGCTATGACTATATGATACTGGCTACGTTAACCCTTTCAGTCTTAACTGAGTTATATTTTCCTTCTTGAACTGACGTCCCTTGTCGTAGAAATCCTGTGTCTTTATATTGTGTATTACCGCATAACAGTGGTACATCACTTCAGCACACATATTTGTAACCGGACCAATAACAGGGACTACAATAACAGAGAACTGTATAAGTAATTACAAGGGAACTGTTCGGAGTTTCATCAGGTCTTGCACTATCATCCTGTTACAAGTTAGTTAGAGAGTGCAATCGTACCACAGCTCCCATATACACCGATTGTTCAGCATAGTCATGGTTTTCAAAATGTGTACATTCTCCTCGATTCGATTTGAACCGTCATTGGCGAGGTTTTCTAAATACATATAAAATAGGTCATTACAATATATACACTAAGATACCGTAAAACACAGGCAATGTATCATCGTAGTACAGACGTATGTAAGTCATCCTAGTAATCTCTAACTGGTGTAAGGTTTACTGTGGCTAGCAATGCATTACATAGCCTGCACGTGATGGCTCTGCTACTATCTGGTTCCCTCCCATGTTGCCTTCTTTCTGTCGACGATGCTACTACTTAATACACATATGATATCAACATGCTTCTTCTACCATCATCAACAATACCGAAACAAAATTTTACACAAAGGAGACTGGAGTCAGTTGTCATGATCAGCTCTGTGACCGGGAGGCTTGAGTCAGCTGTGACCACGGCTTCTGGCATATGTGATTGTCCCGGCTATAGCACGGCAACTACCGGCTAGAGCTTGCGCACTAGCTAAGGCACATGGCAACTGTATGGAGAGAAGAAAGGCTGTCATTGGTCTGATAAGGTGTGAGGCTTGTTGCTAGTGTCAGGACAAAACAATAGACAGGACTTCACACATTGAAGGTATCTATACATGAAATACACTCCTACCATTATTGTATATGATACCTGACAAAACTCAAGATTAAATGGCTACCCTCTATCCACGGCAAGTTAGTCAACAGTAATATGCCTCACACCGCGCCTCATAAAGATCTCGGCCAAAACATATCGTGGTGCGAACGTCACAGCAAATGGTAGCGGTTTGAAATGAGTCTTCAAAACAAGGTGTACATTTCCTAAACAAGTCATCGAAACGTAGAAAACAATTGAAGACAAGGCTGATATAGAATGTGCGTCAAAAGTACACTTGACATGACAGCTGTTAACTGCATAAGTAGAAGTCCTTCCGCGCTTCATAAATTAACTTAGCCAAAACTGGCCGACGTTACCAAACATCCACACCCTGTAGAATTATCGATAAAAGTACGTATGAACTCACCTTTTTTTTGTCTGTATCCCTGGTTGAGAGAAGGCAAAGGGGCTACGTATCTCCACGCCCGCCGGCCTGGGCAACTGTAGGGAAACAGCGGTGATTAGCCTCGTGTCATTATCGCGGGAACCGAAAAGGAGGAAACAAACGCTTATAACCTTACTTCTTTACCTGTAAATATGTTAAGAAGTGGCTTCCTTATTTTGGCAAGAAGGTAGCTTCGTTTCCTATTTGAAGATTTCGCTTCTCATTGAGCCTTAGGACTCGGCTACTAAAATCTGAAGTTTGTTTAGTATAAACTATTTTTGGCCCTGCCCAGCAACAAGCTTGACACCTAATTCGACCAATGGCAGCCCTGCTTCTCCCAGACATCCAGATACCACGTGTTTCAGAATCTCACACGCCACATGCCTTGCATTGGCCGTGAAAATAGTTCTATGTCGCCATGTGGGCCATAAGGAAATTTATGCCGGACACGAAAGCCGATCCTCGCCCGCTAGGTTTACGTTGACCAGTGCACGGGGAATTCTCCGTTTGTACCGAACGGGGTTTCCTTGTTTGTATCGCACGGGCCACGCTCAAACTTTTCCGGAATTGACCAATCAGAGCATCCATGTGCTCTCTCCTCGCGTCCTTTTCCACAAGCAGGACGGTTTCAGTTTATCGAGGGCATGGGCGATAAGACAAGTTTGGCTTATCTGTCTAGAATGCCCCCACACACATTGCAATGGACATCAAAGGCAGATTATTGTGGGAAACACTAAAGTAGTCCAGCCCTACAAAATTAAACAAGGTGTACATTTCATATTCAAGTCAAAGAAACGTAGAAATTATTCAGCTGTAGACAAGGCTGATATGTCCAGCGCAAAACATTGACACGTTTCACAATCAAAGTCACACAAAACAACCACTGAACAGGCCGGGTGGTTACAGGGGAGAATGTAAGTCTTCTATAAAGTCTGCTATAAGATGAACGATCCGAAATGTGAAGTCGTCATCAGGACTCCAAACACGGAAGGTTTCTATACATAAAATACACTCCGGATCCTACCATAATTGTATATGATACCTGTCAACGCTCCTGTTTAAAAGTGTACCCTAAATAAAAGCACGTATGAACTCACCGTTTTGGGAGTCTGTTATCGCTGGTGGAGAGGAGAGCAGTTGTTCTCAGTGGTCCGGGGTACGGCCACGCGGGTACGGCCTCGTCTGCGGGCTCGTCTCGTCTAACAGTAGAAGCGTTAGTTGAATACGTTCAGGGGTCCAGTTGTAAGTATTGTTGATACGGCA